ACAGATTTCAGAATAATAATGAAGTACCCCTCATCATGCCAAAATATATCAGGTCTAGCTACACTCTTCCAATTTTCAGTTACAAATCGATGAATAACAGTAATAGAAGGAGAAAAGCCAAAAACGTAAAATATCAGAGAATTACCCCATCTCCTTCTACCTTCAGAAAGTTCAGCAGCAGTAATTTTAGCAATTGATTTCCCATCCTTGATTCCTAGAAACCAACGGAACAGTATTCGCTGAAACCCTAGTTACTGTTTCATTGGATTTACTTAGATTTTTAACAATTGAGCTTCCATGAAATTGCTTAAGCTTCCTCAAATCACCCCTGGATATCATACCAGCAGCTGGATTAACGAGGTGAGGGGGAGGAGTAACTAGTTCATCATCTTCAGCAATCGAATCCAGTTTTGAAGAAATCCCTGATTTCCTCAAATTATCTAAGATTTTATCGAATGGAGGTTGGTTAGAGTTTTGCAAGAGTGGAGTTTATTGTTTTTTCTTGCGGGGTATTGTGATGACAAAGCTAAATGAACGAACCCAACCTAGCAGTAGAGAATCGCCATAGGAGACCTACAAAAAGTCAACGAAAAGTCAACGCAAGCAAAAACTCTTCATTTGTTTGAATAGCTTTGATTAAAATAGCTTTGTTTGAATGTGTTTAACTTTCATTTGTTTCAATTACTTTTATAGAATGCATTTGACTTTCATTTTATTCAAAAAGCTTTGTTTGGATATCTTTACCTTTCATTTAATTCAATTAGCTTTATTTACATGTGTTTGACTTTCATTTGATTTAGTTAACTTTTTTGAATGCATTTGACTTTCATTTGATTCTTATAACTTTGTATGAATGTGTTTGACTTTCATTTGATTTAATTAGTATTGTTTGAATGTGTTTAACTTTCAACTGATTAAAATAGCTTTCTTTGAATGTGTTTGACTTTCATTTGATTCAAAAAGCTTTCTTTGAATGTGTTTGAATTTCATTTGATTCAATTAGCTTCGTAGAATGCATTTGACTTTCATTTGATTCAAATAGTTTTGTTTGAATGTGTTTGACTTTCATTTAATTCAAATAGCTTTCTTTCAATGTGTTTAACTTTCATTTGATTCAATTAGCTTTGTAGAATGCATTTGACTTTCATTTTTTTATTCAAATAGTTTTGTTTGAATGTGTTTGGCTTTCATTTGATTTAAATAGCTTTGTTTGTATTTCTTTGACTTTCATTATATTTAATTAGCTTTGCAGAATGCATTTGACTTTCATTTGTTTCAAATAGCTTTGTTTTAATGTGTTTGACTTTTATTTGATTCAATCAGTTTTGTAGAATGCATTTGACTTTCATTTGATTCAAATAGTTTTGTTTGAATTTGTTTGACTTTCATTTGATTCAAATAGCTTTGTTTGAATTTGTTTGACTTTCATTTGATTTAATAAGCTTTATAGAATGCATTTGACTTTCATTTGATTCAATTAGCTTTGTTAGAATGTGTTTGCCTTTCAATTGTTTCAATTAGCTTTGTTTTGATTTGTTTGACTTTCTTTTGATTCTACTAGCTTTGTAGAATGCATTTCACTTTTATTTTACTCAAATAGAATTGTTTGAATGGGTTTTAACTTTCATTTGATTTAATTTGTTTTATAGAATGCATTTAACTTTCATTTGATTCAAAAGGCTTTGTTATAATATCTTTCACTTTCATTTGATTCATTTAGCTTTATTTGAACGTGTTTGACTTTCATTTGATTTAATTAGCTTTGTTAAAAGCATTTGATTTTTTCATTTGATTTAAATAGCTTTATTTGAATGTGTTTGACTTTCATTTGATTTAATTAACACTATTTGAATGCGTTTGCCTTTCATTTGATTCAATTAGCTTTGTATAAAGTATTTGATTTTCATTTGATTTAAATAGCTTTGTTTGAATGTGTTTTACTTTCTTTTGATTCAATACCTTTTTAAAATGCATTTGACTTTCATTTGATTCAAAAAGCTTTGTTTGAAGGAGTTTGACTTTCATTTAATTCAATTAGGTTTTTTTTTTTTTTGGTGAATAGAATTTTTATTTCCAAAATAAAGAGTACAACTAACAAAGAAAGTTTCACTAGCAAGAACATCCAAACTACACAATTCTCGAAGGTCAAACCACCCCTAAAACAGTCCAAGGATCTGGTTTAGCCACCTTCTAGGAAGGGATCTAAACAAAGCCAAGATCAAACTAAGCCCAGGCCCCTGAGCACCTTCTAGGAAGGGTATTAGGAACAAGGACCAGGCAAATATAAACCAACCCAACTCAAACAAAACGCAAGGAACTATTACAAAATAATAGCAAAATATTACAAGCAACTCAAAATAGGTTGCAAGCTATAGGAACACATGCTGATAGGACACAGGCTAGAAACAAGAACAGGCACCAGGAATTAGCACCCAAATCGGAGCACAGAACAGAAAGCACAAGGGAACCAACCAGGAATAGGACAGAGCCAAAACAAACCAACCCAGCAAGCTAGAAAACAAGAGACAGAATGAGCTTCAAGAGGTCAGATTAGAACCCGACAGGAACACAACATCACCCTATCTTGACACAAGAACACCAGCAGAAACACAGAACACAGCAGCATAACTAGTTAGCAGTTATGATCAGCTTTTGTCTATCAACTGAATCACACCTGCAAGCAACTTTATACACTACATTTCTGAACACAGCATAAGCAGGATCACCAGTGCCATTGAACATAGTGTTATTTCTTTGGATCCAGATGCTATACACAGTTTCAGCTAAGAACATCAAGTGTAATCTGCTAGTTGAGCTTGACCTCCTACATCTTTTAATTGTCCATTCAACTTCCTGACTGAAACCTTGAACTGGTCTCTAACAGTTAAGAAGTTGTAAGACCTTCCCCCAAATTCTGCTAGAATAAGTGTAAAGAAAAAACAAGTGTTGAACACTTTCCCTTTCTTGTAAACATAAAAGGAAAATAGGATCACAAACAGGATTCCATTTGAGAATTCTGTCTTTTGTAAGCATTCTATCCCAAGAAGCAAGCCATAAAATAAAGATACTCTTTGGAGAAGCACTATTGTTACAGAAAATTCTTCTCTAGGGAACCTTAGAGCTTTGTTGTCTAAGTTTAGCATAGATCTTTTAATGCAAACTCTATTGTTCCTTATCACAGAGCTCCAACCTCCAAAGTAATCTATCATCCATCTGTATTTCATTACTTCCCTAAGAACCTAGGAGCCTTTCTGAGGGATATCAGCTTCCCAAAACTCAACAATTTTAAAGTAATGCACATGAACCGACCTTACCCAGAGGGAATCAGCTTTGTGAGCAATATCCCAGAGAAGTTTTCACACAGCAGCAGTATTCCAAGCATGAAGAGCAATAACATTCCATTCCCCACAGGATTTAGGTAAATAGACAGTATACCAAGCTATAAGGGCTTTCTTTGTGGGATTAGTAGTGCCTGTCCGGAGAAAGGCTTTAAACCTGCTTTCAATCTCCTTCATAGTCTTTTTTGGCAGCACAAAAATCTAAGCCCAATAAGTTTGGACCCCAAAGAGCACACTCTTAATAAGTTGTAATCTGCCAGCATAAGAGAGAAACCTAGCAGCCCAACTTTCAATTCTACTAGAAATCCTGTGCAGCAAAGGCTTACATTGTTTAATAGTCAACTTCTTTGAAGACAAAGGTACCCCAAGGTATTTAAAGGGAAGAGTACCAGCAGCCATACCCAGACAAGCTAAAAGGATCTCCTGGTCTTCCAGATTTATTCCCCCAAAATAAACCTCACTCTTATTAAGATTAGCAACTAAGCCAGAAGCTCTTGAAAATTTCTGAAATGCCTTGAACATAAGCTTGATAAAACACTCATTAGCTCTAGCAAACATAAGAAGATCATCTGCAAACATAAGGTGAGTAATCCAAAGCTTCTCACACCTTGGATGAAAATTAAAATTAGGCACCCTGACAAGCTCATAAAAACACCTGGACAGATACTCCATTCCTATAGCAAACAGGAAAGGGGACATAGGATCACCCTGTCTTATCCCCTTTTTTTGCCTTAAAAGGGTTAGTAGGAATACCATTGATCAAAATAGAAAAAGACACAGAGGTAATGCACCCCATAATCCAATTAATGAACACAATGGGAAACCTAAGCTTACACATTACATCCTTAATAAAGCTCCACTCAATGGAGTCATAGGCTTTCTTCAAATCAACCTTGATCATGCATCTAGGAGTGATGTATTTGTGGTTATACCCTTCAATTAGCTCAGTAGCTAGCAAAATATTGTCACCAATATGCTTGCTTGGAATAAACCCAGCCTGAGCTTCATCAACAACCTCCCCAATAACCTTTGCAAGCCTAGCTGTGAGGATTTTAGAAACAATCTTGCAGAGGACAATACAACAAGCAATTGGTCTAAAATCCCTAACATAAGAAGGGTTTTGCACTTTAGGAACCAAGGTTAAGGTTGTGCAATTCCACTGAGCATTCATAGTGTCAGTTTCAAAGAACTCATGCACAGCCTTATACACTTCAAGCTTAATGATTTCCCATGTATGCTTGAAAAATTTGGAGTTGAAACCATCAATCCCTGGAGCTTTGTCATTAGAGAAATCCTTTACCGCACAATCAATCTCAAAATTTGTCCCACGGACAATTAACATGTTCTGAGCATCCATAGAAAGTTGGATTCCAGATCTCATAGTAACTAGATCAATGGCATCAAGATCAGGAGAACTAGATCCCATCAGTAGCTTGTAAAAAGAACAATATCCTGCTCCACTTCATCAAGGGTTTTGAGAGGAACATGCTGATCAGTCATGATAGAGTCAATTCGATTCCTAGCTTGTCTTTGTTTCATCATAGAAAAGAAATACTTAGTGTTAGAGTCACCAAGTTTAACCCATTCTACCTTAGAGTTCTGCCTAAACACACTCTCCTAAATAGACCTCCAATACTTAAGCTGTTGAATAGCAGTAGCTTCCTAATCCCCTAGAGCAGGAGAATGAGGGTCAGAAGCCATTTGGTCTTGTATGTCTAACAAAGCCTGCTGAGCAAGATCAATTCTCATTTCAACATTTCTAAAAGAATGATGATTAAGCTGTTTAAGCTTAACTTTCAAACTCTTAAATTTCTTCCAAACTCTACTCATAGGACTACCATGAGTACCACCACTCCAAACATCATGCACTAGAGTCAGGAAATTAGGATGAGTAATCAAATGATTCAAAAACCTAAACGACCTTCCCTTACCTGGAGATGGGGGAAAAATCTCATAGAGAAGAGGAGTGTGATCAGAGAGGGAGGGAGGAAGGTAGATGGCCTCGACATTAGGAAATTAAAGCAGCCACTCCAAATTAACCAAACCTCTGTCAATTCTAGTTTGAGTTCTAGGACCACAATAAGCTTTGTTAGACCAGTAAAAACGAGAGCCCTTACTTTTAATCTCAACAAAACCCATATCTTCAATAAAATCTTTGAAGTCTCTAACTTCATAATCAGTGATCTCACTTCCATTAATTCTATCACCATCCTGCAAAATAGAATTGAAATCCCCAGTACATATCCAGGGAAGAGAAACAGGACCAATAGCTCTAATACCACTCCATAACTCTCTCCTGTCATGGATATCGTGCAAACCGTAGACAAAAGAAACAGCTACATGTCTGCTGTAATCAAGAGAACTGACAATGCAATGAATGAACTGAGTGTGAACAGTGATTACCTCAATATGAAGCCTTTCACTCTTCCATCCAAGCCAAATTCTACCTTTTTCAGAACAAGAATAATTGCACACCCAACTCAGCCCATGAGAAATTTGTTTCTGAATTCCAGTACACTTCTTTTGTTTAACTCTAGTTTCAAGAAGGCACAATACATCTGTTTTAGTTCTATTGAGTAGCTGTTTAATATCAGCCACTTTACAAGGGTCATTAAGACCCCTGACATTCCATACAGTGAGAATCATTGATGTGTAGGAGGCCTACCCCCGCTTGGTTTAGTAATGTTCTGTCTCTAAGGAGTAGTAGTATCTTCAGTATGATCTTTAGGAAGCACAGGATATATGTTTGTGGTCAACAAATGAACAGTATTCACAGCAGTTTCCTTCCCTTTCTTTTTCATAGTTTCCCACCTCTCAGTTGATTTGGAAGGAAAACCAGGCTCTTGTTTCACCTTCTGAACCTATGTTTTCTTCTATGGTTGAGCCTTAGGAACAAGTTGATTGTGACTTGCTTTAGGCTCATCACAGTTATGGCCAGCCTTATTACATTTCCCACAATAGGGAGGAGTCCATTCATTTATTACAGCTAACTCTAACACCTCACCTTTAGGGCTCTCAACTAAAATAGACTTTGGTAAGGGTTTAGTGATGTCAATCTCAACAAGCATCCTGGAAAAAGAAACCCTCAATTATCTTGATGTGCATTCATCAGCAAAGATTGGAACACCTAGAGTACTACCAATCCGGCTTAGAGTTTCAGGACCCCAGTAGTTAAGAGGAAGATTAGGCAACTTGATCCATACAGAAACATTGCGCAATATTTCAGTACTGAAGTCAAACTTCTCAGACCAAGGCTTGACTATAGCAGGTTTCCCATAAAACATGTAAGGTCCTCCACATAAAACAGCATTCAAATTATCTTGTGAGCAAAGATTAATTATAAAATATCCCTCATCATACCAATAAACCTCAGGATTGTTACTAAATCCCCATTCATCAACAATAAATCGTTTGACAGAGGCAATTGTGGGGTAATAACCAACAACATATAGAACAATTGCATTACTCCATTTCTTATTTCCTTCCTCAATTGCAACAGCAGGTAAGATATCAATGAGCTTACCATTTTTTATTTGAGGGGGAACAAAATTCATAGAAACCCCTTTGGCATTCAGCTTTCCAATGAAACCTCGATTACCATCTAGACAAGAACTAGCACCATCAGGCTCAACATCAACAGTAATAAGGGATGATCCACACCCAGTAGCTGGCAGAGCAGATGAACTCGCTGCTTGATTTCTAGGCAATGGAACAGTACTCGGAGAAATCACTGTTCCATTGGATTTAGGTCCAACAGAGCCAAAACTTAAGGCTAGCAATTCAGCATCTCTTCTAGTAATCATTCCCGTAGATGGATGAACAAGCCCAGGAGCTGGGGTTACAAGTTCATCCCCTTCATCAAAAACCTCATGAACAATTGAAAATCTAGCTGAAGCTGGGACAAACAAGGATTCAGCAATTTCATTTGTGATCTTAGAGGGAGCAAGGTAGCTTGCTTCTTTTTTCGAGCCATGATAATTGATTTTGGAAAGAAAAACCAGCAAAATCAAGCCATTATGGATGAAAACCAAGCGTTCTATCTCTAGGGTTTTTCACTTTCTCTCTCTTGATTCAGATAGCTTTTAATGATTCAATTAGTTTTATTTGAATGTAGTTAACTTTCATTTGATTCAATTAGCTTTGTTCTAATGTGTTTGCCTTTCATTTAAATCAATTAGCTTTGTTTGAATGTGTTTGACTTTCTTTTGATTCTACTAGCATTGTATAATACGTTTCACTTTCATTTAATTCAAATAGCTTTGTTTGAATGTACATAACTTTCTTTTGATTTAATTTTCTTTGTATAATGCATTTACCTTTCATTTGATTTCAAAAGCTTTGTTCTAATATCTTTAACTTTCATTTGATTCATTTACCTTTTTTTTAACGTGTTTGACTTTCATTTGATTCAGTTAGCTTTGTTGAAACATTTGACTTTAATTTGATTTAAATAGCTTTGTTTGAATGCGTTTGACTTTCATTTGATTTAATTAGCACTGTTTAAATGCGTTTAACTTTCATTTGATTCAATTAGCTTTGTAGAATGCATTTGACTTTCATTTGATTAAAATAGCTTTGTTTGAATGTATTTTACTTTCATTTGTTCCAATTACCTTTTTAGAATGCATTTGACTTTCATTTGATTCAATTAGCTTTATTTGAATGTTTTTGACTTTTAATTGATTCAAATAGCTTTCTTTGAATGTGTTTGACTTTCATTTTATTCAATTAGCTTCGTAGAATGTATTTGACTTTCATTTTATTCAGTTAGCTTCGTAGAATGCATTTGACTTTCATTTGATTCAAATAGCTTTGTTTGAATTTGTTTGACTTTCATTTGATTTAATTAGCTTTGCAGAATGCATTAGACTTTCATCTGATTAAAATAGCTTTCTTTGAATGTGTTTGACTTTCTTTCGATTCAATTAGCATCGTAGAATGCATTTGACTTTTATTTGATTCAAATATTTTTGTTTGAATGTGTTTGACTTTCCTTTGATTCAAATAGCTTTGTTTGAATTTGTTTAACTTTCATTTGATTTAATAAGCTTTGTAGAATGCATTTGACTTTCATTTGTTTCAAATAGCTTTGTTTGCATATGTTTAACTTTCATTTGATTCAATCAGCTTCGTAGAATGCATTTGACTTTCATTTGATTCAAATAGTTTTGTTTGAATGTGTTTGACTTTCATTTTATTCAAATAGCTTCTTTTGAATTTGTTTGACTTTCATTTGACTTAATAAGCTTTATAGAATGCATTTGACTTTCATTTGATTCAATTAGCTTTGATCGAATGTGTTTGCCTTTCATTTGTTTCAATTAGCTTTGTTTTAATGTGTTTGACTCTCTTTTGTTAATTATCTTTGTAGAATGCATTTCACTTTCATTTGATTCAAATAGCTTTGTTTGAATGTGTTTAACTTTCATTTGATTTAATTTGCTTTGTAGAATGCATTTAACTTTCATTTGATTCAAAAAGCTTTTTTTAATATCTTTTACTTTAATTTTGATTCATTTAGCTTTATTTGAACGTGTTTGACTTTCATTTGATTTAATTAGCTTTGTTGAAAGCATTTGTCTTTCATTTGATTCAAATAGCTTTATTTGAATGTGTTTGACTTTCATTTAATTTAATTAGCATTTTTTGAATGTGTTGTACTTTCATTTGATTCAATTAGTTTTGTAGAAAGCATTTGATTTTCATTTGATTTAAATAGCTTTGTATGAATGTGTTTTACTTTCATTTTATTCAATTACCTTTTTAGAATGCATTTGACTTTCATTTGATTCAAAAAGCTTTGTTTGAAAGTGTTTGACTTTTATTTGATTCAATTAGCTTTATTTGAATGCGTTTGACTTTCATTTGAATTTTTTTTTTTTGGTAAGTAAGCAGATAATATTATTACCAAAGAAAGAGGGCAAGCTCTCACCAATTACTTAGGCCAAACGGCCTCACACATAAAGATACAAGGTATAACAAAAAAAAAACAAACCCGAACAATTTCATTTGAATCAATACAAATGCAACAGCCTCCTTAACACCGCAGCTACGCAGCAGCAGGGCCACATCATAACATCCAAGCAGCCATCACCAGACAAGAAGAAGCAAACAGTAAAGCAACCTAGTAGCACAGAAACATAATTACACAACAGCAGCTCACAGACAACAGCAGCTCAACTTGTATAACAGCACAGAGACACAGCAGCAGCAAAGACACGCAGCAGTCCAGCAACATAGCAGGCCAGGAAAACAAAAACATAGCAAAACAGCAACAGAAAAACCAGCCCACAACAAAAACCTGACCAAGGCCAGCCACCACCAGGAAGCAGCAAAGCAACACAGCAGACCAACAAATAGAAAACAGAAGCTCAACAGCCTGAGCAACACAGCAGCACAACAACCAGCAAAACAAGCCACCAAAAATACTAGGAACAGACCTGTTGTCCTCTCTCAACCACACTCATGGGGTCCTGCTATCCAAACAGTGAATAAAAACAGCCCCCATCCCTCTAAGTTCCATACAGAACAGCATTAGCTACTTGTTGGAGACTTTCAGCGCTACTACATTGAATGCCAGCACCAGCAGCCCTCAACGAGGAGTCCCATTGCTGATTTGTTCTTCCATTCTCCCCCTGAAACTTTCCACACTCTGCCTGCACGCATTTAAACCTTCCCTGATCAAGAATTGCTGAGCTGCCGTATACATCAGCTTGCTTGCAAGAAGGTTGCACCGGCCTCCAAACTTTCCGAGCTGTGGGAACATAAGTTTGTTTCCATACCCTTTTGTTTAGGCAGATATCTACCATATGTCCCATGCCCTTACACATGGAGCAAGTGATAGGCTTCCACTCAAATATCATCTCTTGTTTCACATTGCTACCATTTTCATCTAAAAATTCAATATGGTCCATAAAACTACCATTAATCTCTACCTCTACTAAGATTTGATTCATAAAGCTTTGTTTAAATGTTTTTTACTTTCATTTGATTCAATTAGCATTGTTTGAATGTGTTTGAATTTTATTCTATTCAATTAGCATTGTTGAATGCGTTTGACTTTCATTTGATTCAAAAAGCTTTGTTTGAATGTGTTTGATTTTCATTTGATTCGTTAGCATTATTTGAATGTGTTTCACTGATATCTGATTCAATTAACTTTGTTGAATACATTTAACTATTAATTGATTCAAAAAGCTTTGTTTGAATGTGTTTGACTTTCATTTGATTCAATTAGCTTTAATTTGTTGAAAGCAATTGAGTTTCATTTGATTGATAAAGCTTTGTTTGAATGTTTTTTACTTTCATTTAAATCAATTAGCATTGTTTGCATGTGTTTGACTTTCATTCTGTTTAATTAGCTTTGTTGAATGCATTTCACTTTCATTTGATTCAAAAAGCTTTGTTTCAATGTGTTTGATATTCACTTGATTCAATTAGCATTGTTTGAATGTGTTTGACTTTCATTTGATTAAATTAGTTTTGGTTGAATGTTTTTAAATTTTATTAGATTCAATTAGCTTTGTTTGATTGTGTTTGATTTGCATTTGATTCAATTAGTTTGTAGAATGCATTTGATTTAATTTCACTCAAATAGCTTTGTTTGAATGTCTTTAACTTTCATTTCATTCAATTAGCTTTGTAGA